ATGTTGATGATTTAATTTATACTGGGAATGATTTTGGCATGTTGGAAAAGTTCAAGCAGTCCATGAAGCTTGAATTTGAAATGAAAGATCTGGGTTTGTTGCATTATTTTCTTGGTCTGGAAGTAGTACAGTTAGATTCTGGAATTTTTGTTTGTCAGAAAAAATATATGCAGGAAGTTTTGGACAGATTTCAAATGAAGAACTGCAATTCTGTCACTACACCAGTTGACAAAGGTGTAAAGCTCGTGAAAGATCCAGGAGGCAAATCTGTGGACAACAAACTGTATAAGCAGATTGTTAGAAGTCTGATGTATCTGACAGCAACAAGACCAGATATAATGCATGGTGTAAGTTTGATTAGCAGATATATGGAGCATCCAAAGGAGTTGCACTTGTAGACTGCTAAAAGAATTCTCAGGTATTTATGTGGAACTGCAGATTTTGGACTATTCTACAAGAAAGGTGACCAGACAGATCTCGCAGGCTTTACAGACAGTGATTATGCTGGAGATCTGGATGACAGAAAAAGCACTTCTGGGTTTGTTTTTATGTTGGGATTTGGTGCAATTTCATGGTCTTCAAAGAAGCAGCCCATTGTGACTTTGTCCACAACAGAAGCAGAATATGTGGTAGCAACTTCTTGTGCTTGTCAAGCTATTTGGTTGAGAAGAATTATGGAAGAACTTGAGTTGAATCAACATGAGGCCACTTCAATTTATTGTGATAATAGTTCAGCCATCAAACTTTCTAAAAATCCAGTTTTGCATGGGAGCAGCAACCATATACATGTGAGGTATCATTTCTTGCGCAACTTGGTAGAAGATGGAACAATTGAGTTGATTTATTGCAGAACAGAAGATCAAGTGGCTGATATATTCACAAAACCCCTCAAAGTAGTAGTTTTTTCAAAACTGAGAGAGTTACTTGGTGTTTGCAACATGCAGAATTCAGTTTGAGGGAGGGTTTGCAGATTCCAGATCTGCAGATATGGTGTTATCCAGATTTCTTTAAATTAAAGTCTGAAGACTTTTAGTTTAAGGGAGGGATTGTTGGAAATTAGATCCTATTATTTAGCCATTATCTCTATATTTTAGAAAGTTTAAGTTATTTATTTGTTTTAGGTTGTTATCATTTAAATTAGATTAGATAAGATTGGTTAGTTATCTTTTTAGATAATATTATCTTGTAAAGTCTATTTAAAGGCTAGATTATTTTCAGTTACTGAGAGATTCAATTTTTCATTCCATCTTCTTCTTTTCGGAATCCTTGATTTTTTAACAAAAGAAGCAGCATCCTGAACCGCAAAGGCCATTAAAGGGTCATGGATTACAACTACCTTCTTGGCTTGTGGAGAGGGTGTGTCTATGAGGGCGGCAAAAGAGGTTCACGAAGGTTGAGAGAGGAGTCGAAGGATGGCTGGAGATGGGCAGGAAAATCAGTATCTCCACCGCAGGTGGGGGCGGGAGAAGGAAAAGAAGGAATAGGCAGGTCATGGAATTGGATTTTGGTGAGGAGAAGAGGAGTTGAGCAGCGGAGCTTGGCCTGACGGATGTGGATGGAAGAGCCAACGTAGTGAACAGGAAGTTCGTAGGATGATGATAGGAGGCATGAGAGTTGCAGCATCTGGTTTAGATGGCTCTGGGCTGGAAAGGGCACCGCCACCACCATAACTGGAGCACTCTGGTGGTGGGGATTGACCATGGAACTCGGTTTTGCCTTCTGTGATGATTGGCTGGTAGTTTTTCAAGGGATAGAAAATGCTTTCTTGCATTTGGCACTTTCTGCTTTTGCTGTCAACTGGTTTGAAGTTGATATTTCCAAGCCGGCCAATATTGAAAACAATGTTATGGTACCCCCTCCTTGATTTTTAATATTCCTATTTTAACTCTTTCAAGATAAATTTTTAAAAATAAAAATTTAACAATTTATATGAATAGTAATTAAATTTATTTTATATATAATTTTTAAATATTTTTATTTATTATTTATATAATATATTAAGTTTGTATCTATAATTTATGTTTACAAATTAAAACTGCAAAAATTGAAAGAAAGTAGTATATTTTTTTTGAACTATTACAATTGGAGGGCAGGGGAAGTTGAACCCAGCTTTAGGCTGGGAATTGCCTCAGTTCTCCGATGGGCCCAAGAGCCCGACAAACTCTTCAGTGGTCTATCTTTTTCTAAATAAAACAGAGATAACTTTTTCCTATTTAAGCTATGTTCTTAAAGACAGGTTTTTCTCAGCACGAAACATGTTCTTATTTTTTTTTTTTTTAACACTAAAGTTGCATTAAAAGAATGAAGAGCTGCGGCCAAAGTTTTCATCCAACGGGTTTTCACAGTTGGATCTAGGGATGTCAACGGGGTCTCGCGGGGTCGGGGAAGCCCTTCCCGTCCCCGTCCCCGCAAATGACGAGGACGGGGATCCCATTACCCGCGGAGATCCCCGTTCCTCACTAATTAATATCAAAATATACATTTTTTAGATCAAACATAATCAAAATCAGAGCAAATCAACTTCGACTTCAACTTTGAGCAGCAACAGCAGTGGCGTAGCAACAACGTGGTGGAGCAATGGTGCAGCCATGGCGGGGCAGTGGCGCAACCGTGGCGGGGCAGTGGTGCAGCCGTGGCGGGGCAGTGGTACAGCAGCAGAAACAGCAGTAGTGGCGCAGATGGATTTGGTTTGGTAGCAGCAGTCCAGACTCCAATTCCAAGCAGAAGGGTGAGATGTGAAATAGAGAAGGATAGAAGGGCGGCAATGAAGGGATCGAGGGATTTAGGGTTTGAGATTTGTAGGGAAGGCCAAAAGGGAAGGTGGAAGATGACTTAAGTGAGTGTGTGTACGAGAGAGTCGAAGGGTGAGAGGCAGGGGCAGTCACTGCAGAAATGGAGAAACAAATAAGGTTGCCTAGGGTTAAAAGGATGCTTACGGTTAAAAAGATTGGGTTGGGCTTTGAGTTGGGCTTTGGGGTGTGTTAAATTTTATTGAATTGGATTGGGTTTTAAAATTATATTAAATTTAAAATGAAATTAATTTATTATTTTTAATTTTTCGCGCGGATGGAGATCCTCGTGGGGCCCTACGAGGGAGGAAAATTCCCCGTGAAATTTCACGGGAGGCAAATGCCCCCGTCCCCACCCCGCGGGGAGGAATATTGGTCCCCTCCCCGTCCCTGTGGCGGGGATCCCCACGGGATCCCAC